AGATTGGAAGATTGGATTTTTTTTTGGGGTGGGGGGTACTGGGGATTGAATCCAAGAGCCCATTCAACTGAGCTACATCCCCAGCCCTTTTTATTTATTCATTTTTGTAGGGTCTTGCTAAGTTGTTTAGGACCTCGCTAAGTTGCTGAAGCTGCTTTAAATTTGCAATCCTTCTGCCACAGTCTCCTGAATTAGTTGGATTACAGGTGTGAATCACCATAGCTGGCTCCTTATTCTTGATTTCTTGATCTTAGGGAAAAGGTTTCAGTTTTTTAGCATCACATATGATGTTAGTTATGGGTTTTTTCCAATTTGACTTTTCCAAACTCAGAATTCCTCTTCCAATTCTTACCATATATTTTTTTTAACCATGAAATGGTGTTGAATTTGTTAAATGACTTTCTGTGTCAGTTGAGATGATTCTATTTTTCCTTTATTTTACTAATGACACTTTTTTTCTTATGTTGAAACACCTTTGAATTCTGATAGAATCCTCTTGGTCTTGGTGTAAAATCTTCATGTGCTACTGGATTTAGTTGCTAATATTTTGTTGAGGATTTCTGTATTCATATTTTGAAGGCATATTGGCTTATAGTTTTCTGATCTTGCTGTTGGGGCAATGTTGGCCTCATAAAATCGGTTTAGAAGTGTTTTCTTGAATTTTTTGGAAGAGTTTGAACAGAATGATATTCTTTTTAAAATGTATGATAGAATGAAGCTATGTAGTCCTGGACTTTCTTTTTTGGGAGACTTGATTACTGATTCAATACACTTACTAGTTAAACTTCTATTCAGATTTATTCATTTGTAATTGTAATATAGCTATTACAATTGCTTAAATCCAAAACATTGACAACACCAAATGCTGAACTCTCATTCAATGCTAGTTATTTTATTTTGGAGGGTACCAGGGATTGAATTCAGGGGCACTTGACCACTGAGCCACATCCTCAGCCCTATTTTGTATTTTATTTAGAGACAGAGTCTCACTGAGTTTAGCACCTTGCCATTGCTGAGGATGGTTCTGAATTTGCAATCCTCCTGCCTCAGACTTCTGAGCTGCTGGGATTACAGGCGTGTGCTCCCATGCCCAACCAGATTTTTTTTAAAAAATATTTTGTTGTGGCTGGGGACATAGCTCAGTTGGTAGAGTGCTTACCTTTCATGCACAAGGCCCTGGGTTCAATCCCCAGCACCACAAAAAAAATATTTTGTTGTAGATGGACACAATACCTTTATTTATTTATTTTTATGTGGTGATGAGGATTGAACCCAGTACCTCCCACATGCCAGGCAAGTGCTCTACCACTGAGCTATAGCTCCAACCCAAGATCTTTCTTTTAATTTAAGGCTTTATAGCTATAATTTTCTAAGTACATCTTTTATTGCATGCTACAAATTTTGGTGTATTATTTTTATTCATCTGAAGGTATTCTATAATTTCTTCTTTGACCCATTGATTGTTTAAGGTTGTGTTGTTTGAAAGTCATGCCAAGAAAAATGAAGGACTATGAAGTTCCAGTAATCCATCCCTCTCTTGAAAGCTGAGCATAATGGTATTACTTTTAAGTTCAAATTCCCATTGTTTGCTGCAGTATATAAGAAAGCAACCACCTTTTGTGACTCTAATGTATTTTTCACTTCAGGTATTTTATTTTACCCTTTTGTCAAGGATAGTTTTGGTTAAACTTTTTTTTTTTTTCCTGTGAATGGATTGTACATTCCTGTTTCATCATATACTTTATAACTTTTTTTTGTTGTTGTTAAGAACTGGATATTCTGAGTATTATACTGTGTTAACTCTGGAAATTATATTTTTTTTTCCCCTCAGATTGCTAAATGTTTCTTGTTAAGGGCTAGAGCCATCTGTGACTTCTACAAACTATTAAAAAAAAAAAAAAATATATATATATATATATATAATTGTCAATAGACCTTTATTTATTTATTTATATGTGGTGCTGAGAATCAAACCCAGTGCCTCACACATGCCAAGGCAAGAGCTCCACCACTGAGCTACAAACCAGCCCCTACAAACTATTTTTGTTCTTCTTCTTGTGTGTGGTCACTGAAGTTCATGATATCACTGCAGTCAACTAGTGACCTAACAAAGACTTACTGACAAAAAAAAAAAAAAAAAAAGGAACTGGCAAAATTCTGAGATATGGAGGGCAGGGGCAGACAGGAAAACTAAGATAACATCTCAGGGTACTACCAGGCCCACCAAAGTGCACAACCCAAATTTTTAAAAAAGATAAGGTCTCCCCTGCCTGCCTAGCATCAGCCAGTTGCTTTAGGAACTGGGACTGCTATCCCACAACCATGGTAGAGCTGAGGAATGGAGATGGTAGCTGCTTGACTCACATTCTGTCACTTCACCCAGTACCCCCTGTTGTTAAATGTTTGATCAGAGTCTAGAGTTCTGGGATAGTTGGATACAATTACTGCTTTTTTCCAGCTCAATGGTTGCTTTCATCAAAGGACTGACCCCTAGAGCTTCTGACTCCACTGCTATATATGATTGCATTCCATAGTGTTTGGATTACTAGAGCTTTATAGTATTTTTTTTCTTCTTCTAGTATTGGGGATTGAACCCAAGGGCATTCTAACACTGAGCTACATCTGGCCCTTTTTAAAATCTTTTGTTTTGAGACACAATCTTGCTAAATTGTTGAGGCTAGCCTCACAATTTGTGATCCTCCTACCTTAGCCTCAAATAGCTGGGATTACAGGTGTGTGACTGCCATGTGTGGATGTAGTAAGTTTATTAATTTGGGAAGACACTTTTCTTTTTAAAATCCTCTTGGCTATTTAGGACCTCTTTTAATTCATATGAATTTGAAGATCAGCTTTTCCATTTCTGTAAAACAAAGCCATTGAAATTTTGATAAGAATTATATTGAGGGCTGGGGATGTGGCTCAAGTGGTAGTGCGCTCGCCTGGCATGCGTGCGGCCTGGGTTCAATCCTCAGCACCACATACAAACAAAAATGTTGTGTCCGCCGAAAGCTAAAAAAAATAAATATTAAAATTCTCTCTCTTTGAAAAAAAAAAAAAGAATTATATTGAATATGTAGATTGCTTTGGGGGAGTATTGCCACCTTAACAATACTGCTAACTAACTCACAAATACAGATGTCTTTTCGTGTGTTTAGGTCTTTCACAAGTCTTTTTTTGGTGGGGAGGGAGGTAACCATTACGCCTATTTTTCATCATCCCAAATAGAAACTCTGATCATTAAGCAGTATTTCCCTAGTTTCCCTTCCTTTTAGCTCCTGGCAGCCTCTATTTTATTTCTGTCTCTATAAACTTACCTATTCTAACTACTTCAAATAAGTGGAATCATACAGTAGTTGTTTTTTTTTTTTTTTAATTTTTTTCTTTACTTCTGGTTGGACACAATTCTTTTTTTTTTTTTGAGCGAGAGAAAGAGAGAATTTTTTAATATTTATTTAGTTTTAGTTTTTCGGCGGACACAGCATCTTTGTTTATATGTGGTGCTGAGGATCGAACCCGGGCCACACACATGCCAGGCGAGCGCGCTACCGCTTGAGCCACATCCCCAGCCCAAACACACAATTCTTTTTTAATTTATTGTTATGTGGTGCTGAGGATCGAACCCAGGGCTTTGCACATGCTAGGCGAGTGCTCTACCGCGAGCCACAATCCCAGCTCCAAGTAGTTGTTATTTTTATCTGACTTATTTCATTTAGTTGTTATAAATACTTAATCTAGCCAGGTGCAGTGGTGTACTCTTATAATCCCAGTGGCACAGGAGACTGAGGCAGGATGATCACAAGTTCAGAGCCAGCCTCTGCAATTTAGCAAGGCCCTAAGCAACTTAGAAAGACCCTATCTCAAAAAGAGAGGTGGTGGGGGGGGGGGTGGCGGCATGCTGGGAATGTGGCTTAGTGATTAAGCCCCTGTGGGTTCAATCCCTAGTACCAAAACATATATACACACACTTATTTATTCTATTTCCTGACTCATCAGATCCCCAACAGTTGGCACTGTTATCCCAACCTTATAGATTAAGCTGAGCACAGAAGGCTAGTTAATTCTAAGATCACTCAGTAGGTAAAAAGGGTGCTAGTAGCCAGGCTCTACTCTTTTCAACAAGATGCTGCACTTCCCCTCCCTAAAACTCCTGGCTCATGTCAGTCCCAGACATGTCCAACACCCAAAATCAAGGGCATCACATCCCTCCGTAAAGCCTCATGCTCCTTCAGATTTGGTGTCAAGCTGCTGAAGTAATAGTGGGAGAAGGAAGTTTAGGGGGCCTCACCCAGAACAGGGCCTCAGCCAGGCTAGGGCCACTATAGAAAATGCCCTTGGGGGCTGGGGCTGAGACTCAGCCGTAAAGCGCTCGCCTAGCACTGGGTTCCATCCTCAGCACCACATAAAAACAAATAAATAAAACACTGTTTCTAACTACAACTAAAAAAATGTATACGTATATATATATATATAAAAAAGAAAGAAAGAAAGAAATGTCCTCGAATGCCAGGCACAGTGGCGCATGCCTGTAATTCCAGTGGCATCAGAGGCAGGAGGATTGTGAGTTCAAAGCCAGCCTCAGCAAAAACAAGGTATTAAGCAACTTAGTGAGACCCTGTCTCTCAATAAAATACAAAATAGGGCTGGGGACGTGGTTCAGTGGTTGAGTGCCTCTCAATTCAATTCCCAGTACAAAAAAAAAAAAAAAAGTCCTTGAATGACCCAAAGGTTAGCAATTTGGTCACCAGTTATTTGTTGTGCTTGTTTTGAGTTCCCTTTAGGGACAGATCTTGGTTTACCCATTCATGTTCTTGCTTATGGCCTTTGGGCTTTTCCCAAGTTACAGAATGTGGACAAAGCTGCAGTGATCTCATTTTGCTAGTCTCTCTGTGCCCTTTAGAAGGCACATGCCCAGGAATGAAATGGCTGGGTCGGTGGCTAAAAGATGTTCCTGCTTTAGAAAACTATGCCAGTTTTTCCAGGTGTAAATTTATATTCCGAGAGCCAGAAAAAAATTATTTTTTATTTTACATGGAAATCTTTCCCTGTCCTCCCAACTCCATCATTCCCCATTCCCTACCCCCCACCATGCTTGGACCAGGCCATGCCCGGATCAGGCCATGCCCAGCAGTGAGGGAGGCAGGCAGAAGCTCAGACTCAGGCTGAGAAAATCTCAAGCACTTTTATGCTTACAGTCAACAAGTGATCCTGGTTTCCAGGACCAGAAAGAACCTGGCCACATTAGATTGTGGCAACAAGAGGCTGCAACCAGGAGCAGGCACTTGCTGATGGAAACGGTAAGCTGGTAGTGTCAGCTCTATGTGACAGAACAGGGCAAGGTGGACAAAGGAAGTGCACAATCTCTGTCACTCTACCATTCATCTGCTTTCTGCCCAGGGCTCGTCCTGGAAGAGGGGCCATCCTTCTAAACACTGCTGGCCAATCTTCTAGTTGAAGGCATGTCTGGCCACTGCTCAGATTCACTGTTCTCATTGCCACAGGAAGGTATCCAACTTGGCCTGGGAGGAAGGGTTTATAGTCCTCACCCTCACTCTCTGCTTAGCCTTCGTCTTGGGCTTAACAGGCAGTGGGCGAATCATGGCTGTGTTAGTCTGGAGGAGATGTCAAGGAAGAGGCCTGGAAAAGGGAATGGAATGCAGGGCAGGAAAAGCTCAGATCTGATGGCAGGCAGTCCTGCTACACTGAGCAAGGCTCAGCTTTGTATACCTGAAGCGACAGACACTGGTAGTCTGGGGGTACAGGTGAGACATAGTATGAGCTCTATAGCTTAGCATAGCCCATTGCTACAGAACAAGGATACAGGCTGTATGAATTTTGTCCGGCCTCCAAGGCCATCAAAACCTGTTCTTACCTAGGGCAGAAAGAAGAGATTTATTCTATTAGGATAGGCTAATGGGCTAAGAGGCTGGCTAAACCTTGCCCCAACCCTAAGACAACTGGTACCAACCACTTCAATCTTACCACATCTGTGCTGCGACAGGACTCTGCTATGGCCCTCTTTGGCTGTTTCTGGCCCAGAACAGCATTCCGGATAAAGACAGGGAAGGCACCAGCCAGGTCCTCATCTGGCTCTCTTGCACAGTGCTGGCCACCCAAAGAGAGCTGGGACTTCTGCAGGGGAAACCCCAGAGCCAGATTTAAAGAGCCAGATGGCAGCAAAGGAGGGAGGGTAGTGGTGGTAGATAAGATTGAGATCCTCTGACACCTCAACAGGAGGCAGAGAGGATAATGAGTAGGGTCCCAATGATGACTCTGAAGTGTCTCAGTGCTAGGCCAGGAGAGAAAGCTCTGATAAGACTGTTTTTCCAGAAGTCCAGCTTGTATACCCATCCCTGGTAAGGGCTGGATAGTGAATCCCATATTTCGTTTGGGAAGCCCTTACCTGCTTGGGACCTCTGGGCATCTTCTTGAGAATGTCCTGAACAGGAGAGCTACAAGAGTGAGACATGAAGGCAGGGGGCAGGTTAGCAAAACATGAGGACCAAGCTCAGCATATGCCCCTAAAAGAAGTTACCATGTAGCACAGCTGCTGTTAGGCTGTGTTCTGGGTGAGGTACCTCAGTGGTCTCCACCCCAAATGCAGGTCTATGAACAACTGAACAGACAAAAGAGGCAGAGTCAAGGTAGATTGGACCTGTCCCAATATTGTGAATTCATTCCAATGTTTCCCAAGTCCTTGGGCACCTCACCATATTCCAAGCTCTACATAAAGCTGTGGAGCCCAACCAATTCACCACTCACAGGAGGAAGTCTAGTCATGCCCTTATATAGGCAGAAAGCTTGTAATCAGGCCTATTCCTATCTTCCCAGAGATGGGGGCATTACTTCCATGAGACCCTTCACAAGTTAGCCTTTCAGAAAAATCTTCAGTAAGATAGCCCATGAAGTTCTTTCAGAAGAGATTCCCTAAAGAATCTGTGCAGAAAGAGTCTGGGGCAGAACAGAACATGGCTTCACACAGCTCTTCATGCCTGCCCCTCTAGACTACTCTCTTGGGGCATGGGGTCCTGGACCCCATAGTTTAAGATGGTCTCATCTCAAGCCTTAAATGCACACAATGGAAGAGGAAGTTGAGAATCTTTTGCTCAAGAGTCTGGTAGGCAGGCATTGGGAGGTATTGGGAGCACTCACCCCAACTCCACCAGTCCAGACCTGCCTTTCTGGGACCCCTGCATCCTCTCTAATTCATATTCCAATACTTTACCTTGAAGGATGATGATAAGGATTAACAAGATGAGCAAGAAAAGGGCTTTGCACAGTGAGTGCTCAGGCCAGGGAAGAAAAGGTGGCTGGAACCAAAGCCATAGCAAAGCCTAGGTAGCCCCACTGTGCCATCAGCCATTCAGAGCTATCAGGGCAAGATCTGAAGAGATGTCTCAGTTCTTTCTCCAAGTCATGTACACTGCCAGGGACTACCACTCACTGTGCCTTCTCAAGGCATAGCCTTTTGGAGTGGCCATGCTGGGAGTTGGAGGGCTGGGTTTGGGGGGTATCCACATTGAAGGAAGCATTGAGGTCAACATCATCACCGAATGATGGCCGGCGGAGCTTCAGGTTCAGCATCTCCACAGGAGCTGGGCTGAAAGCAGAGATAATCTAGTTACTTGGGACCACAGTAGCAGCCCAGAGGACCACAGCCCCTTAAGCATCAGACAATTCAAATCCAAAGGCCTGGAACCCACTCCTGACTCAGGATCACCCCCAAGGAAGCCCTAAACTCTACAGAACAAACAACTTGGCTCAGTCCTTCACATAGCCTTGGGACTGGTGAAGGTATGGAAGACAGAAGCAGGCAAAACCCAAATGAATAAACAACAGTCCATTGCCCTTTTACTATGTAGCTTCAGAATGCAGTGCAAGCAGCCAGTCAGAGACATCATCACTGACTGATGTAGAGGGCAATGCTTCCCAGTTCCCGATGATGTTGCTATTTATCATAGCAAATGGTACCCTAGGGGGCTGGCACTTCCAGACCTTAAATATTATGCAGGCATGAAAGTACTTCTAGAAAGTACTTTTAATAAATGGGAAAACATATAAGTTTAAAAAGCAATACCAAATTCTATGTTTAGTGCAATGCAATCACATGATGTGGCACACATATCCACCCTACCACCACCTTGAACAGAAAAAAGATGGGAAGGAAATGTACCACAAATCAACAGTAACTGCCTCTGTGATAACTTCATAACTTCATATTTTCTGAATTTTCTTTTTTTTTTTTATTCTTTTTTTAAAAATTGATTTTATTTTTTTAAATACACAACAGTGGAATGCATTACAATTTGAATTTTCAATTTATATAACTTTACCTTTATAATTGGTGTGGTGGTAGTGGGATTTCTCTTAGAAAACTACAGCCAACATATTTTCCTAGCCCATCCAGATCTGGCAGGGCTCTCCAGCTCCTATAATCTGAGGAGAACCCTGGGGAATGGCAAGGGCAACTCTAAGAATTCAAGAACTGTTCAGAGCTGTACCACAGTCCCAATTCCACTGGGTGTGCAGATCAGACGAAAGGGAGCTACTTCCACAGATGTGAATGGGGAAGCAATCTAAGAAGCCAGGACAAACTTCCTTTCCCTGGCCAGCCTTCTGGAAGCTCTACTCTCCTGTTTGCATGCAAGTGGAAATGAAGGTGGCACAAACCCACCTGAAACCAACTCCACACTAGTTGCTTTATTTCCCTTCTCCAGGAACCACAGAATAAAGCAACAGCCAGGACCATTCATGCCCACTATGCAGTAGCTGTTGTTCTGCTACTATTTACTAACCTAGTAAGGGTTAGGAAAGGTGAACTCAAGAGGCAGATCTAGTCTGGTGAGGTGCAGATATTTTGCTCTCTAGGTGGATCAAAACTCTCTAGGTGGATCTAGGTGGATCAAGATCTTATTGTCATCCCTCCAGGATGCTCACTGGTGCTCAAGGCACATGTTCAGCCTAGTCTTAAGCTAAGCCAGTTTTCTTCACTTGCACCTCCTGGCCATCCATTGCACTAAACACAAGACTCAGGAGGTTCCTGGTGTCTCCTCTACACGCATATCTGGCTCATAGGGACACAGTGCTTGTTCTTTCTGCCAGGGGTCTACTTTCTTTCCTTCCCATCTTCTGTCTTATGAGGAAAAATCTGGGGCTCAGTAGCCCCTCCTTTACTAGCTGAGGCCCTGGTATGAGGCCCTCCTGGGTGATACCATCACTCACTGGGACATTCACCCATGGCCAACTTATACAGCTTCATGCCACAGAACTTAAGAAATAAGTAGGATACTTGCAGCCCCTTTTCCAAACCATAGCCAAGGCCGTGGGAAGATCCATTACCTGTGTGGTACAGGGTCAGTTAATATCTCCTCCATAAACTCATGGCTCCTGATAGTCCTACACTATATGAAAGCCTCCCTAGCTCTCTCTAGCCTAGAGGTCAGGAGCCTTTTAGGCCCATGAGAGATCTTCTTAACATCCTCTCTGTAGTTGGAGAGGTAGCTACCTCCTAAGGACATCCTAAAATGACAGGAGCAAAGGATAGCCCTACTACAACAAATGGAATGGGCAACCATCATCAGCACCTAGAGACTTCCATAAAATTCTGGGAGACTGTGCATGGTCAAGAGGATAGGAGAATGACATAACAGCCAGAATTCACAAGGAGGGGGCTATGAAGCATTAAGCAGGCCTGAAAACTGGGGCATTAGTAGAAGGTGTAAGCTTGGTCCCACTGGCAGAACACTAGGCAGCCAGGCAGCTAACTTGAGTCAATAAATGCTTTCCCAAAGACCCCAAACAAACATCCATGAACATCCATGCACGGTAACCTAGGTCAGTCAATACTGACCTAACAGTAAAGCCTTGTGCATCTTGGATTCAGCTAAGACTCACCATGATGCTGGCTCATGGCATACTCCACCCACCTCCAAACTCCCACCTAGGCTGGGCTCTCAGGAATTCTTTCTGTTACTTCCTAATTAGAGGGCCAGAGGCAGCCAAGGACTACTGAGCATAGGAGGAAAGCCCAAAAGAAAGGGCATGATGTACAAACACTGACTCTGAGATAAACAGCAAATGTGAAAATATAAAACAAAAATAGCACATATTACAAAAGATGTACTCAGCAAGAAAGAATGCTTGCAAATTTAAAATAGAATTATCTATTCGACCTAAAAAAGGAAGGAGATTCTGATACATGCTACAGTAGGATGAACCCTGAAGACATGTTGAGTGAAATAAGCCAGCCACAAAAGGATATTACATGATTCCACTTATGTGAGGTTGAATTGATAGAGTAAAATGGCAGTTGCAGAAGCTGATAGAGACAATGGGGAATTTGTTTAATGAGTACAATATATCAATTTGGGAAGTTGAAAAAGTTCTGGAGATAGATGGTAGTAATGGTTGTATAGCAATGGTGAATGTACTTAATGCCACAGAATCACACTTAATAATAGTTTACAGGTAAATTTTATATTATGTATACTTTATAATAAAAATATTGGTAAAGTATTGAACATGGTGGTACACCCCTTAATCCCAGTTACTTGGGGGACAAAGGCAGAAAGACTACAACTTTGAGGCCAGTAACTTAGCAAGACCCTTTTTCAAAATAAAAATAATAATAAAAAAGGACTGAAGAGTAATGCTATAGTGCACTAACTTTAATCCCTACTACCACTAAAACAAACAAACATACCAAAAAAAAAAAAAAAAAAACCTGTAATATAAAGCTGACTTGCAAAGCCCCAGAGAAATCTGGCACCCTGGGCTGGGGTTCAGTGGTAGAGTGCTTGCCTTCCATGTGTGAGGCACTGGGTTCGATCCTCAGCACCACATAAAAATATATAAATATATTGTGTCTATATAAAACTATAAAAAAAAAAAAAAAAAAGAAACCTGGCACCCTTGCCACCAACCCCTCTCCTCCAAGCATACCCAGCTCAGTCATGCCTCAGGCCTTTACCCTTGCCATCCTCTGTGCCTAAATTACTCTTGCTTCAAAAGGCTGGATAAGAATGTGTCTTCCAGAGCAACAACATCATGTCAGCTGTCAAGGGGAGAAGGCAAAGGCAGGGTCTTTGAGGTCCCTTATAGTTATGAGGGTTTTAGCATTAGCACAAAAAGAAAATAGGACAAAGCTGCTACTGAGGGGTCAACTACTACTTGTGAGAGCTTGGGGCCCTAGGAGGGGACCCTGGATTTAGAGTAGATTGTGCCAAGTTAAAAGAAGGGCTAATGCTAAATGCAACCGACCTGCTTCCACCCCGCCCCCAACTTTTTTTTTTTTTTTTTTTGTGGTGCTGGATACAAGGCGTGCATGCAAGGCAAGCACTACCAACTAAGCTATATTCCTAGCCCATTCCCTAATTTTTATGCCTAGAAAAATACTGGAGAAAATAGAAAATTAAAGTCATTCTGCATGCAGCCTGATGGAAAGCCCAGCCCAGCTTTGTACAGATTTAGGCCTGGCAAATGGAGTGTCCTGTGGATTTGAAAGGAAAGGGAGAGGCCAGGGTTATGGATCAGTGGTAGAGCACTTGCCTAGCATGCGTGAGGCACTGAGTTCAATCCCCGGCACCACATAAAAGTTAAAAAAAAAAAAAAAAAGAAAAAGAAAGAAAGGCAAGGGAGAAAAGAACTGAACTGTCTATGAAGCTTACTCAGAGTAAGGGAGATTCATCTCCATTTGGGAGCTCCAGACTAGATTCTGCTTATGTAGTGTGGAGCTGGCAGCTTCTGGACTTAAACCATCAAAACTCCCAGCTCATCTATTCCATAGGAACACAAGCTCCAAGAAGACAGAGAAGGTTTTAGAAGGCACTCAGTAAGGATCTGTTACAGGAGTCCAGGCCTCATAGCAGCTTGGGGTGCTATACTTAAAAAAGCAGGTATACAAAGTCCCTAGGTATCTAGAGGCAGACCGTGCACTTTTCTCTTGTTATGAATGCCAGACACAAAAGGCAAGTGCATGGAAACACCTTGAGGCCTATAGAATTGAAGCTAGAGAGGAACTTGCCAGCTGTTAGTGATATACTAGGGGAGGGTTTTATACCCACTGCCTTGTGGTGGCTTCGGTTCCAAAGGTTTATCCATATTACATGGTTTCTGAGACTATTAGTTGAGTGTGTATACTAAACCTGCTAAGCTCCTGATGGGACCCTTGTGTTCTCTGGGGCATCTAAGGAGACATGGTCAATGACTGAGGATAAGATAGGAAGAAAAGACCAGAAATAGCCCAGTTTGTCAAAACCAAATCCATGCTGGACCTCATGGCAGTTCATGTGCCTATCATACTCCCAACAACCCTTTCTGGGTCCAATCCAAATGGAGAGTGGCAGGTAGGTAAGCAACTTTGGCTCTAGATGGACTGAGATAAGAAAGGGAGAATAAGACTGAAGATTTGAAGTACAAGAACAGAGAAAACTGGCTGTGCATTCACTCTCCTATGTAGAAGCATGTACTATGGGATGGGGTATGAATGTAAGAAAATTGGTGATGAGGGACATAGATTAAGAAGTGGATCTTGGGGGCTGGGGATGTGGATCAAGCGGTAGAGCACTCTTCTGGCATGCGCTGAGCACTGGGTTCGATCCTCAACACCACATAAAAATATTAAAAAAAAAAAATAAGGGTACCAGCTGGGACCATACTTAAAAAAAAAAAAAGAAGAAGTGGATCTTGAGGGCTGGGATTGTGGCTTGGTGGTAGAGTGCTCGTCTAGCACATGTGAAGCCCTGGGTTCAATCCTCAGCACCACATAAAAATAAATAAATAAAATAAAGGTATTGTTTCCAACTACTTTCAAAAAATAAAAAAAATGTTTTTTTAAAAAAGTGGATCTTGGTCTACTCAGAGATATGTAGTACACATTGAGTATGACTCTAGAGCATCTCTGTGGTCCATGGCACCTGGCACAGCATGTAAAGAAGTGCTATCTGGCATAGGAGAGTAAGCTAAGGAAACTAAGGCAGTCTGTTCAGGGCAGCTAACTCATTAGTTGAATGAAGCAAAAGCACAGAGGCAGGAGGGAAACATGTCCTACTATTGCTTGATTTGGCTAAAGCCTAAAGACCCACTGCAGCATAAAGACCCACTAAGATTCATGAGTGTCCCAAGGCACATCTGGGCAGTGTTTGGGCATGAAGCAAGGGGAATTATGTCCAGGATTATTTCAGGGAAAATTCTTTGGGGCACATGCTACACAGACAGGAGGAGCAACAATATGGGTCATAAGCTTCATATGGAGAATAGGGCAAAGTAAGGGGTCAGAAAGCACCATACAGGCTAGTAGACAGGCAGGTACTATCAACTGATTGGCAGAGGGAGTATTTCACTAAAGAACAGTGAAAAGTGGCTCAAATAAAACATTGGGTCACTGACAGAAGTCTTCCGTCTGGCTCCCTGGATAGAGTCCTCTTACAGGCAGGAAATAGACCTGAAAATGCTCTCCTATTTCTGTGAAACACTCAGGGGAAACAATGAATGCCCTCTACTGGCAGGGATGCCAATCCCTCTGTCTCTTTGCTCCCTCTGCTGGCAGCTTTAAAGCACACGTTCCTGGAACCAGAGGGAGATTATTTCAGAGTGGTTTCAAGTTTGCTTCAGAATTTGGGGCAGACAGACACATGTAGAGAACCAGTCCATAAACAGGGTGCCTCAAGACAGTCAGTGCTCCTGCTCATTCTCTGACTAGGTTCTCTCTGGCATTTCCTGGCCTTTCCTTTTAGAGCACAAAATTTGTCTCAAACTGCAGATCCACACATCCTACCAAAGCCATGAGGAGTGAAGACCCTTCTCAGGGCATTCTCTTAGCTTGTGATCTCTGCACCACCCCAGGGGGTCAACAAACCTCTCTAAAACCAGGCGGTTGACAGTCTCACTGGCCACTGGTGGCAGGTTCAAGGTTTCCTGCAACATCATTAGCTTCTTTTTCAGGCTCTTGGGAAAGAAAGAGAAGAATGTGAAAGGAGATAAGGCAAAGAACAAGCAGCATGCATAAAGGGCATTGGGAATAGGGAAAGGCCTGAAACTCAAAACACCAGGCTTCAGAAACCCTCTCTGGTAAAGTCTCTCTTCTGGTAATTAACAGTCTCAGAGAAGAAGGATTATGAGGAAAGACCCATTGTGCCATCTGACCTCTGCCCAAGAGGCCCAGGGTATAGACCACCAAGGTGTATACCCTGACCCACTGCCTGACCCAGGAGGATGCAGGGAGCTCAGAACCATCACCACTGACTGGTGTACAGGTTCTTGGGAAGAAAAAAGTCTAGCCTTGTTTTTTTTTTTTTTTTTTAAATTTGTTCTAACTAGTTATACATTTAATTTTTTTTTAAAAAAACATATATTTATTTTATCTTATGTGGTGATGAGGATAGAACCCAGTGCCTCACATGTGCGAGGCAAGTGCTCTACCGTTGAGCCACAACCCCAGCCCCTTAATATTTTTTTTGCAGTTGTAGATGGACAGAATGCCTTTATTTTATTTATTTTTATGTTGTGCTAAGGATTGAACCCAGTGCCTCACACATGCTGAGCAACCACTCTGCCATTGAGCTACAGCCCTAGCCCAGTAGAATGCATTTTGACACATCACACATAAATGGAGTATAACTTCTCATTCTTCTGGTTATACATGATATACAATTTTATGAGTTGTGTAATTATGTATGCACATAGGGTAATAATATCTGATTCATTCTACTATCTTTCCTACTCCCATATCTCCTTCCCACCCTTCTCTCCCCTCCCAACCTTGCTCTTGAAGGACACATAAACCATCCCTCATTCTCAATAGGCCAGGAATGTCCCACCGTGATTTCCTTTTCAGCATTCTGTAAGTCCTTTTGGGCTGCTCTCAGCTCCAACTTGGCCTGATCCAATTCAGAGTAGACTGTCTGCAACTACAAGAAGGTATAGGGAGAGTAAAGGACAAGCCAAGTGGAGGCGATATGCCTTGCCCCCCACCTGTCATAGTTAGGGTCGCTTAGGGTCCAGAAGAAACTGGAGATATGGGAGGAGACCCCAGACGTCTGTCTGGTGATGCATGTGTGGAGTTGCCTAGCAGCAAAGGCTGCTCTCTACACAGTGCATCCTATGGATGCACTATGCCAGAAGTGAAAGCAGCAGTCCCAGGAGCCCTTCCACTCTAGGTCTGAGTGTAAAAAAACAGGTCTCTGAAGCTATCACATTTGGGGTTTGTACACAAAGCCACAGAAAGTCAGTGCCCAGTCTCTTGAAGCCATTCACCAGCCTCATGGAGTTAGCCAATACTGTCAGGCCAGATAGCCTGGCTCAGGAGTCTTGAGCAAGCATGAACAAGCAAAAAAAAGAGTTCCTTGCACTCTGCTCAGTTACCTTGCTTTTGGAGGAGACCAAGTCCTTCCTCAGCTTGTCAGCCAACTCCCCTGAGGCCTTCCGAGCCTCTTTTAGATTCTCATACTCTCTGTGAAGTGATGATGGAAAGAGATACCAGAATGAACACTCTGCTACTTAAAAGAGTCACAGCACCAACCTAACACAAGTCCTTGCCCAACCCCTCAGTTCATTCTCATTCTTCCTCTGACACCTGAGTCCAGCAGGGGCCAGGTGGCCCTGTGGAGGGTCCTGCACAAAATGCAAGGAGTCTGGTGACACTGTTCCCTGTCTGGCCTGAAGGTATTTGTAACTTGAGAGGGTTGCAGGGAGCTCTGGCCTCACTAGGGGGCCCTCTATACCACTTGGTCCCTACAGAAGGGCATTTTGTTTTTGTGCCTGTTAGCCAAGCTCCCTCCCTCCCACCAACCTCATACCACCATCGTGAAGAACAGGGGCAAAGTTTCTGATCCAAGACACGCAGGGTCAGTAATAGTACTGATGGGAAACAGACTCCAGATATCACCAGAGGGCTTACAGCTCAGAGAGCTAATGTCAACTCCTTAAAAACAACACTAAAGCCAGGCATGGTGGCACACACCTGTAATCTTAGCAGTTTGGGAGGCTGAGGGAGGAGAATCGAGAGTTCAAAAACTGCCTGGGTTAAGTCCCCCTGGGTTCAATCCTCAGTATCAAAAAACAAACAAACATCACTTAAAATTCATACTCTTCTCAATGATTCCATGAGGCATGTTATCACTATCTTCATGTAGAAAGGTGAGGGTTCAAGAAGCCAAGAAACTGGCTCCAGGCTACTCAGCTGGTGACAGGTAGAGTCAAGGTTCAAACCAAGGCAGGATGGCCCCGGAGCTTGCCACTTAACTCCATCTGCTTTACAAGAGATAGGCAGCAGAGGCATGGCTGGGGACCCATGGCCTAGCTCCTGAGCTCACTGAAAGGGGCCAAAGTACGCACTTCTTGAGAGACACACAATACACAGCCAGTTGCTCCACCGCTGATTGTCCCACACCCATGTCTCGAATCATTTCCTCCACCTCAGGCCGCTGACTCTGGAGTAGGATCTCAATCCTGAAAAACACACACAGCCCACAGCATTTGAAATCTGGAGGCTGATGCTTAGTCTGCCTTCCTAGGCTGCTGTTGCTATGGCAATAGCCTGGGCTGCTAGGATGCTTTAGCAGGTGGGTGTGCCCAAGGAAAGGCTATATAGCAGAGCTGAGCACAGCTCTAGGGATGCTGCAGAGCAAGAGGTGCTGACAGAAGCCCTCAAGGTCAGGGATTTCCTATAGAGAGGTTACTAAAGGGAAAAATCTGCCAGGTCATCTGGCCATAGGCACAGGACAGGAAGGAGTATGACAAGTGCTCCTATGGAAATCAGAAGAGTCCACAGAGGCCAAGAAAGATTTGTGTCCATATGTAGCTGACCTGAGCCCTCCATGTCCTGTGGGGATTTGAGCCATAGAGGTGACCCAACTTACTCCCTGCTACAGTCCTAAGAGCTATACCATCTGGAGGCCCTGGGTATAAGGACACATACAGGCGCCAGCTCTAAACTCACTGCTCCATGGTCTTCATCTTGCTCCTGAGTCGGCGGGCTTCCTCCCGTGCTTGTTTAGTCTCATCTTGTTGCTGCTCCAAGAACTTCATCTGCTTCTGAAGAGCAATCAAACCCAAACATGGTGCTTGGGAGCCATGGCTAAAGTCACTGGAGAACTCTGCCCCAAAACTATCTGATCTTATCTTTTGAAAATGCTGATAACTATATGCCCCCAAAATCCCAGAGGTTAAGTGTGTCCCACTCTGGTCTGTGCTTTTTCTGCTAAGAGGCCCTAGGCCCACTGTTTCTTCACCTCCCTGCCTGGTTCCTCCTGAGGTTTGTCTTATTACAGTCATAATCCAATGTCAGCATATATAGGATAACTGTGGGCAGACAAAATCCTGTGGTCTAGGTCTCATAGTGCATATTGTACAGATAGCTAAAAGAAATTTTGAGTACAAACTCAGGCCTCACCAGCAACATCCAAACCCATGGACTAGAGCATAATAGGACAGCTGAGTCAGCAGCAGCTGGCTAGACTGCCCTCAGCATGAGACCATTCTATCTCTGACCTGGGAGTGCTATGACAAACTTCAGCTCTGCAGCTAGGTGCTAGTTTGTTCCCTCCTACTGGCCGGGCCATGTGATCTAGCCATCCCCCAAGCAGGAATAGAGAAACCAAATATCCTGGGGCCTTGTCTGTTCACACAGATGGCTCCCTTTCCCTTTCAAATGCCATCCAACAAAGACTGCTCCTGCCTACAAGGCCAGAATATCAATTGTGGGTTCAGATCAATCGCCTCATGTCCCTTGGAGAGCAAGAGGCTCACCAACCTAGGCTGATACAAAATTCATCTGGGCCTAGGCTGCTTGCTCTATAGGCTTTGATCTGCCTGGTCAGCTCAGCACAGCTGACTTCAAAGGCCCCTGCTCCTCCCTGGGATGCTGTTTGATCTGGCTCCAGAGAGCAGCCCCATCAAGGACTGGAGTGCTAATGGAAGGTTCTTCAGGCTGGCTCACCAGTGGAGTGTGAGCCACTTATGGAGACACAGCCTAGCCTCACTGAGGTCTTACTTGAGCCCCTTCTGTGAAGTATTTGGAAGGCTTCACTTCTTCAAATTACCTAGTACAAAATCCATAAGCACACTCATATGACTTTTTTCTTACGGCCTGGATGGGTACAGTATAGGAAGGCCTGGGAAGAAGTGATTTGCCTATATTTTATGAATTGCGCAAACCAAGTAATGACTGAGGCAGAACCAGAATATAAGCCCAGGATAATAAGCCTGACTAGAGGTCTACCTTCCCACCAACTCTGCCCACAGAACCTGGGGACCTACTTTGAGTGTAGAGCATAGCATCTCAGCCTTGCCTAAGGCCTTTTGCAGAGATTCCACAGTGGTGTTGCGCTCTTCCAGAGTGTCTCGCAGAGTGTCGATAATAACCTGGCTGTCCCGTTTCTCTTTTTCTGGAATAGAAGTGGAGGGTAGAGGGAGAGTCCCATCCATTCATCAGAATGAGAACCTGGGCCCTTAAGCTCCCGTACCTCATCCCTGAGTCAGGTAAGAACAAGGCTCAAGCCAAAAAATTGGTTGCCTTTGTCTCTCTCTGGCATGCACCAAATCAGGCAAACTGAGCCCCAGAGCCTTTGTCTAGGAAATATGCCTTCTTTTTGCTACAACTACTGGGAAGATTTCACTGTTTTCCCATCCCTTGGGTATGGTTAATTTATTATTCCAGAACTCAAGTAGGTTACTGACAAATACAGCATCTGAGCCTTCTCCTAGAGATATTCTGTCCCATCAGGTAGCCTCCCATTCCCCAGCCTGGGTCCTGGGCTAGAATTCTTAGACAAAGAGAAGAGGCTCACCTGGTCTAGGCAGATAGCTTCATTCACCTCCTTTTCCTCTCCTTTTCTGCCAGTCACAAGAGCCGGCAATACTCTTGACCATATAAAGCAGAGAGAGCCTCTGGTTCTGCCAGAAGGTTTGAGGCCCTCCTTCTAGAGCCCCTCCCTCCAGTATCCAAATCAGGAGCTTTCCAGGGCGTCTGTCTCTTGAAAACTCACCTTTCTGGGAAAGCTGGGCTCTGATATTGTCCAGTTCATTCTGAAAAATAACACCCACAATAAACAACAGGAATGCATCACAGCTGGTGTCCAGATGGCCTCCCATATGGCTGTGGGAGCCTCAGGATCAGACAACGAGGACTGTAGGTCCCGGAAAGCATGGACCCTAGTATACCTCAAGGCCCAAGCTAAGCTAACAATGGAGAGATAAGCATTGCTTAATCTCTGTGTGCCTTTTAAACCATAGCTAAGATGGAGAAAACTAACCCCAGAAGCAGGGCCTCAGAACAGAGAAAGAGTTAGAATAGATGCAAAGGAAGTGAAGCTAGGTCCACAGATCAGTCTCAACAGCACAAATTTCCATCAATTCCCTGACCCTGTACTAGCCTCACACTCTCTGAGTATCAGTTGCACTCACCAGGGACCCAGAACAGGGATGGCCAAAGACCTTGGGCCACCGCTAGTTCTCTCCACCCTGTGTCCTGCCTGCTTCACAGGCTACCTCCTTGAAAGCTCTAAGGTGACTTTGTGTAATACAAACATTTCAGCTGTAGAACCTAAGAGGAATCAGTAAGGCAGGACAGCTTTGCATTGCTAGATTGAGAGGGTCAAGTGAACTCCTCAATGGCTTGCATATGTTCCAGAGCCACAGTAGCAGTACAGAGAGGCTGGGCAGAAGTGCATGCAGCTCTTATTTGGAAGTCCAGAGAATTCAACACCCTTATGGGCAATCCTGGTTATGGAGGAACCATAATCAGGAAAATCAAGGTTTTACAGGACTTAAATGCTTGGTCAAGGGTCCATGGTTGTAGTTAGATGGAATCCCAGGCAAACCTTCCTTTAGGTAACACTTCTAGGTTCAACACAAGACTCAGAGTTTTAGATGTGACCAATACAAAGGTCTACAATAGTGAGTGGATAAGCCCCCTGTGATGGAACTCTCTAGGCAGGACTCTAGGGCCAGAAGCTTCTGGTTGCTGGGTTGGTCAGTGTAAGTTGAAGAGGTGGGAATAGAAATAGGGGGTAGGGGAGAACATGAAGGGTCTTCCTGAGAAGGGACACCAACCCAAGGCTGCTGCACCACTACCCAGGAAGTTTTCCAACCCCTTTCCAAACTACTTAAGGTGTTGCTTCCCTGTTTCATAGAACTGGCTTTGAAATATGGAAAGAAATAAAGCTGCTTTTGTTGTCTTTATCACAGAGGACACCACTTAAAACTGGGAGCAGTTGAATATACTGGTTCAAAACATAAAAGCTCTATACTCCCAGCACAGTGAGTTCCGAGGACATCATAACTTCTGGGGCCCATCGTCAAATGAACTCTGATCTGACAAATATCCAGCAAATTAACCCTCAGGGTCCAGCAATCAAATGTGAAGCTCAATCTGACTTCCTCAGGAGTTTTCTGCCAATCCAGCCTCCTGATACCCTAAGAAAGCTAAATTTTAGATTTTGGGCAGAAATGGTATAAGTATTGGAAGGAACCTGCTTAGCCCCCGCTGTAGTATGTGTTTCTAGTTGGGCTGAAAATCTTGATTCCAGGGGCTCTGCCCTCTATTACTGGTCCAGGGAAGACCCAGGCATCTGACTCTATACCCAGTTCCCTAGGCAATTTTGAGGCACATGCAAAGTAGGAAACAGTGGACCCATACATCTTTCCTGACTGGGAAGTCAAAGAATTTCCTAATCTGTCACTAACTAACCAGTAGCAAAGTGGAAGGCAGGAAGGCTACAGGCCCTTCATAAGGTAAGATAACCTTGATAGAGTCACTCTATCCTTTGGTCAGAATTGCACTGAAATCCAAAGAGGAGGTCTTCCAATCAAGTGGCCCCATTACCCTTTACAGTATACTTCTCTGATGACCGTGTCTCATCATCATTTATCCTCCGCTCTACTTGCCCCTGCCTAGAAATCTCTACCAGTCTTTCCTCCATAACCCTATCTCTATACTCTAGGAACCTTCCCTGTGTAGGAGTAGAAAGTGAACTCCCACAGAAATTGGAGTTCAGTGGAATGAGACACATTCTGGATACCTTTAAGAATTCTGCATCCAAGACACTCTCCTCCTCCTGGGCAAGGTCAAAGAAGAGCTTACTGATAATGGTTCTTTTGCCAACCTGGATGGGAAAACAAGATAGAGTATGACTGTCTTGCTGGGTCATGGGCAAGGAGAAAAGTTTGTACATGAATCCAACTGCCTGCCTAATATGTATACCAGGTCTGTTTCCAGACCTAACTTTTCAAAGTAAATGTTTTTAATTTAGAAGACCCCTTCATTCCTGCAGGTACCCCAAGATAGGACTTGTTTGGATGCTGAAGTCATATCACTACAGAAACACACTGAAAGGCCAAGGTTCGTCGTCGGAGATAAAAAAGCACACACACAGATAGCAGTGACAAAGATGAAGCACCTTATTGCAAGCTGGTGCTAGCTTATATAGAAAGTGAGAGTCAGTTATCTTAAACCAGGAAGCTCCCGGAGTCAATCATAATAAAGGTCAGGTCATCACCTACGGTGCACGCACATCCGCCCTGCATAAGATTCATGGGGGGCACGAACTGTCCACGATCACAGAAGACGGGAGGACCAATTAGAAAATTCTCAGAACAACTTGTTATCCGCCCACTGGCAACTTGCTGACGACATGTTGCATTAGGGGCTCCTTATCTGAAAGGCCCGGGGAGTTCTCAGGGAGACTCCCAACACACACAATGAGTGCTCAAAAGGCATTCAACTCTAGGTGCTGGAGCATTTTCTAAAGACAGAAAAAGAGGGCAAGGGATGTGGCTCAAGTGGTAGCAGGCTCGCCTGGCATGCGTGCGGCCCGGGTTGATCCTCAGCACCACATACAAAACAAAGATGTTGTGTCCACCGAAAAAAAACTAAAAAATAAATATTAAAAAAAAAAAAAAGACAGAAAAAGAGACAAATATATCTGGGGGAAGACTGGAAAAAAAAAAAAAAAAAAAATAGTGTCCAGGAAATATTAAAAAAAAAAAAAGGACCGGGCCAAGTGACAAGTCAACTCCCTGTGGATGTAAAATAGATCCCAGAGCAATGCAAGGGTATACATGAGACTCAACTTGCCCAAACCAGGAGGGTGAAAAAGGGTCCTAATTACTATTTGGTTTTAGAGATCTTTCTACATTTTTGCTTCCTGGCAAGAAGACTAGGTCTAGTTGAGGTGGGCCCATCCCCATATTCTCACCTGGATTCGGCATTGTGGGCAAGTCCGACTTGGTGCTGTCTCAAACCACTGAATTAGGCTGGAATGAAAGTAGAACAACAGATCGGTGAGCCCTGGTATGGCAGGGGATAAGGGTCAGGCAGCCACCAGATCAAATCACCCCAATGCCTGCCCACACAGGAGGACATGACAATAGTTGCTCACAGCACTTCCCACAGGCCTAACTGGTACTTGGCACTTGGCACTCAGACCAACTGGCCATTTCTGGCCCTGTAGTATTAGCCTGAAGCTGTTCTGCCAACCTTCTGGGCCTTGACTGGGATAGAGTGACAATCAAAGCCCAGAATCTATCATAGATAGGGACTCTGATAATACCCTTACTTTAAGCTAGGACCCCAAAGGCTATACTTAGATGGTACAAGTAAATAGAGGCTAGCTTTCTATCTATCTGTGTGGTCCATCAAAACACAAATCTTAAATTTACAAAGTCTTCTCCGGAAGATAATACCATCATCCTAGGTATCCACTTTTGAATAACATGTACAACATATAATCTAAGCCAATCAGGTACAGTAGAATATAATACGCAAGGAGAATGAATGAAACAACTAAAAATCATTACGGGTAAATCAGAAAAATATAACACATAGGCAAATAAATCAGATACACACAAAAAAATACATTTTGTAAAATTCCATTTACATAAAGGAAAAATATAGGCAAAATTCATCTATGTTCTGAAGACAGTGGTTTCCTTTATATGGGGGACTTAAGGAGGGTTAGGTTGGTAGGAGTAGTTAAAGAGTATATAAAGACATTTCTAGATCTGATAATACTATGCTTCCCTTTCTTCCTTTCTTCTTTTTTTTAAATTTTGTTTTCAGTTCTGGGGATGATCAAATACAAATCCAGTGCCTTGCACATATATACTAAGCAAATGTTCCACCACTGAGCTACATCCCAAGCTTGTTTCTGGATCTGAATTCTAGCTATGTGAATATGTTGTTTGTGAAAATACTGCAGGCCATACACTGATTATATGTATATTTGTCTATAACTACATTATACTTCAATAGAAAAAATGTTGTAAAAAGTAAACAGGCACGCAGGAAAAAAAGCATATGTCCACAGACATGTATTAGAATTGTCAGACACACACCAAACATATTATGTTTAAAAAAATAAATATCAGTACAGAATCAGAAGCTAAACAGCAACATAGAAAAATTTTATTTTGTTTATTTTTATGTGGTGGTGGGAATCGAACCCAGTGCCTCACAACATGCTAGGTGAGTGCTCTACCACTAAGCCACAACCCCAGCACCAACATAGCACAATTTTAAAAGAACCAAACAAAGCCAGATATAGCAGCACATGCATGCAGTCCTAGCTACAGGCAGGTAGATTGCTTGAGCTCACAAGTTTGAGACTAGCCTGGGCAACATAGTAAGACTCCATCTCAATAAGAACAACAAAAAGAACCAAATGGAAATCCTAAAACTGAAAACCAGCCAAAACTTAAGTCAATGAGTGGGTTTAATGGCAGTTTAACAAAGCTCAAGAATTAGTACAATGAAAGATAAATCAGAGGAAACCTCAAGAATTAAAAAGACAAAAAAATGTAGAGATGATAAGAGACATAGAAGATACTCAGAGAAGCTCTAGTAAATGTGTAAATGGAAGTTCTGGAAAGAAAGTGGTACGAACACTACCTCCACCAAAAAAGTTCACATCCTAACCCCTAAAACCTGTGAATATGTTAGCTTATTGTAGCAAGAGGAAATTTGCAGATGTGATTGAGTTAAGGATCTTGAGATGGGAAGGTTTTGAACCCAGGGGTGCTTAGCCATTGAGCCACTTCCCCAGCCCTCTTTTTATATTTTATTTAGAGACAGGGTCTCACTGAGTTGATTAGGGCCTCACCAAGTTGCTAAGGCTGGCTCAGCCTCTGGGATTACAGGTGTGCTTCACGGGATGGGAAGGGTTTTGTTTGTTTTGTTTTTGTGGTGCTAGAGATTGAACCCAGGACCTCACACATGCTAGGTAAGTGCTTTATCACTGAACTGTATCCCCAGCGCTGAGGTGGGGTAATTATCACAAGGACCCTTATAAGTAAGACAGGAATGTCGAGTCATTTAGAAAGGTTTGATGGTATAATGCTATTGACTTTGAAGATGGCAAAACAGCCATGAACTGAGAAAGGTACCCCTACTCATGCTTAGAGTTTAACCTAATAAGACCTAATGTAAGACTTCTGACCTCTAGAACTACAATGCAATAAATTTGTGTTGTTTTAAGCAACTGAGTTTATAATAAATTGTTATAGCATGTGAGAAACCCTGGGTTTAACCCACAGCACCACCAAAAAAAAAAAAAAGAAAGAAAACAGAAAAACAAATCCTGACATATGCTACAATTAACATGGATGAACCATGAAGACATTATGCTAAGAGAAGTAAGCCTGTTACAAAAAGGTAAATATACTATGATTGCACTTAAATGAAGTACTTAGAGAAGACAAAGTTATAGAGATAGAAAGTAGAAAGGTGATTACCAGGGCTTTGGGACAGGGAACAACTGGGAATTACTGTTTAGGGAGTATAGAATTTCAATTCGGGAAAACGAAAGCTTTTTTATTATTTTTTTATTTTGGGGGGGGGTACTGGGAATTGAACTCAGGGGCATTCAACCACTGAGCTAATATCCCCAGTGCTATTTTGTATTTTTATTTTAGAGACAGTGTCTTACTGAGTTGCTTAGTGCTTCGCCATTGCTGAGGCTAGCTTTGAACTTGCAAATCCTGCCTCAAACTTCCAAGCCACTGGGATATAGGCATTGCAACACTGCACCCAACCAAAGGCTTTTTTAAAATACTGGTCATCAAGGAGCGAATATACTTTCTTCTCAGCAGCACACAGATCCTTCTCAGTAGCACACAGATCCTTCTCTAAAATAGACAATTTCTTTTTTTTTTTTTTGGTGGTGGTGGTGCTGGGGTTTGAACCCAGAGCCTTATGCATGTTAGGCAAGCACTCTACCAACTGAGCTATATCCCTAGCTCCTAAACTAGACAATATTTTATGCCACAAAACAACTCTTAACAAATACCAAAAAAAAAAAAAAAAATAGAGCTAATACCCTGAATTCTATCAGATAATAATGAATGAAATTAGAAATCAACGATAAAATAAAAACTAGAAGCTACTTTAACATCTGGAGACTAAATACACTATTGAATCACAAATGAATAGCAGAAGAAATTAGGGATGAAATAAAAAAATACTTAGAAGTAAATGAGAATAGTGATAAAACATGTCAAAATCTTAGCACTATGAAGGCAGTAGTAAGAGGAAAGTTCACTGCATTGAGCTCTTTCATTAAAAGATAGAAAGTCAACAAATAAAGACCTAACATTACATCTCAAAGCCCTAGAAAAAGAACAAATCAACACCAAAAGCAGTAAAGACAGGAAATAATTAAAATCAGAGGTGAAATTGAAACAAAACAAACAATTCCAAAAATGGACAAAACAAAAAGTTGGTTCTTTGATAAACCCTTAGACACACTAATGAACAGAAAGAGAAAGAAAATTCAAATTACTAAAATTTGTGATGAAAAAGGAAATATCATGATGGACACTACTGAAATACAGAAGTTAATCAGAAACTATTGTGAAAATTCATACTTCAATAAAATAGAAAATCTTGAAGACATCAACAAATTTCTAGAGACATATGACCTACCCATATTGAATCAGAAGGACATATATGATTTAAACAGATCAATTTCAAACAACAAAATAGAAGATTTCATCAAAAGCCTATCAATTGGGGCTGGGGATATAGCTCAGTTGGTAGAGTGCTTGCCTTGCATGTACAAAGCCCTGGGTTCAATCCCCAGCACCACCAAAAAAAAAAAAAAGAAAGAAAAAAGCCTATCAATTAAGAAAAGCTTCAGGACCAGATGGATTCTCAGCCAAGTTCTACAAAACCTTCAAAGAATAATTAACACCAATACATCAAGGAAAGAAAACTTCAGACCAATATTCTTGATGAACATAGATGCAAAAATTCTCAATAAAATTCTGGCAAATTTCAAATAAAAATATCTTTAAAAGATAGTGCACCATGATCAAGTGGGGTTCATCCTAGGGATGCAAGATTGGTTCAACATATAGAAATCAATACACGTAATTCATTACATCAATAAGACTTAAAGATAAGAATGATATGATCATCTCAAAAGATGTAGAAAAAGCATTTGACAAAATACAGCACCCCCTGGGGCTGGGGTTGTGGCTCAGTGGCAGAGTGCTCACCCAGCACATGTGAGGCCCTGGGTTTGATTCTCAGCACCACATAAAAAATAAATAAATAAAGTAAAGATACTGTGTCCAACTACAACTAAAAATAAATAAATTAATTAATTAAAAAAAAATACAGCACCCCTTCATGCTCAAAATACTAGAAAAACTAGGGATAGTAGAAACATACCTCAACATTATAGAAGCTATATATTCTAAACCCAAGGCCAACACCATGCTAAATTGAGAAAAATTGAAAGAATAGAAAATAAGAAACAAGAAAAGTTCTTTTCAGAAGAACTCAAACTATCACTATTTGACAACATGATTCTATATTTAGAAGATCCAAAAAATCCCACCAGAAAACTTTAAAACTAATAAATTAATTCAGCAAAGTAGCAGGATATAAAATTAACACCCATAAATCAAATGTGTTCCTACACATCGGTGATGAATCCACTGAAAGAGAAACTAAGAAAACTACCCCATCCATTCACAATAGCCTCAAAAAAAGAATCTGGGACTTAATCTAACAAAAGAGGTAAAAGACTTCTACAATGAAAATTACAGAACACTAAAGAAAGAAATAAAAGAAGACCTTAGAAGATGGAAAGCTCTCTCATGTTCTTAAATAGGCAGAATTAACATTATCAAAATGGTTATACTAGCAAAAGCATTATACAGATTTAATGCAATTCCTATTAAAATCCCATTGACATTCTTCATAGAAATAGAAAAAGCAATCATGAATTCATTTGGAAAAATAAGAGACCCAG